CCCACCTTCTTTAAGGATTATTAACTCAAAAACTGATGTTACCCAAGACCCCAGATGACACACAGGCTCGACTCGATCGCTCCTCAAACCAAAATCCGTCAAACTGAAGCTGCTCAGATGGCTCTGGTGCTTTTTTTCTGCTGTGAGAAGTCAAACTGTCTAAAGTTAAACATCTTTCTCAGACATCTTCACTGTCGCTGCGGGAACAGCTCAGGTGAAAACTAATAACGGTATCGGTGGCTCGGTTCCACTGAAGTGTCACCGTAAGCCAAACCAGCGAGTGTACGGAGAGAGTCCGGGACCTGGCACCCCTAAATGGAACGCGGCCATTATTAATGCCGTTAATTACACCTGAGCGATCCTGCCAGGACACTTCAAAATGTTTAGTTTAGTGACTATAAAGTACACTCATAAAGATGTGCTCCAGTTCACTGATAGCACAAGTAATTATTTCTTTTTATCACGTTTACCTCAAATTGACCTTTTAAGTAGTCACTGAGAGAGTTGGAGTGTGTGACTCAGAGTGTTTTCAGACTTAGCAACAAACCAAACTCAACGCTTGACCTTTTGCCATTTTCGCTGTCTTTTATAACGCGATGCTTTTACAGCACTGGAAGCTTTAAGTGTGTGTATTTGTGTGTGTGTGCGTCTTCTGCAGGAGTTTGTGATGATTGTGGTGTTTGGCCTGGAGTACATCATCAGGATATGGAGCGCCGGCTGCTGCTGCCGCTACCGAGGCTGGCAGGGACGCCTCCGCTTTGCCAGGAAACCGTTCTGTGTCATAGGTAGGTCTGTGGAAAAAAGAAAGGGGAAAAAACAACATCCTACAAAGACGTCTCTGTAACGGCGACGGTGCATTATCGCACTAAGCTTCCCTTTTTTTTGTTTGTCTGTCTGTGCTGGAAAAATCGAACCGTCACAATAAAACCCATGATGTTGTTGCTGTTTAACTAAAACTAAAACTCATATCATCCTTAACACAACAATACAGAAATCTAAATAGTCAACTGACCCTCTCATACTTTTATAAATATCTGTGTGACACCACTGGGAAGTTTTCCTCTTGTGTTGCTTTTCAACTGGGAATCAATATAATTTGACTTTTCTTGACAAAAATTTACAAAAAAAAAAGACTCTTTCATGTCAAAGTGAAAACAGATTTCTACAAAGTAATGTCAATTAATTAAAAATATTAAATAGGTGATAAGTATTCATGCCCGTTAGCTCAGTATTTAGTAGATGCACCTTTGGCCACAATTACAGCATTCGCCTGTAGGTTTTTGATCAGCAGTCAAATCTAGATTAACAATTAATCCATTTATACTTTTATTAATATCTGTGTAACACCACTGGGAAGTTTTCCTCCTGTGTTGCTTTTCAACTGAGAACCGTGATCAATATAATTTGTTTTTTTTGACAAAAATATTTTTAAAAAAAGACTCTTTCATGTCCAAGTGAAAACGGATTTCTACAAACTAATGTCAATTAGTTAAAAATATAAAATGTAAAACGAAAAATTGCAAAAGTATTCACCCCCGTCAAGTCAGTATTTAGTAGACGTTAATTACAGCATTGACTCTTGCACATGTGGAAGTTTTAATTCGTTCGTCTTTGTAAAACTGCCCAAGTTGAAATACCTGAACACTCATTCATTTAACATTTTATATTGTCGATTAACTGACATTACCTTCAGTTTTCACTTTGACATGAAAAAGTCTTTATTTTTTGAATTCTTGTAAGAGAAAAACAAAAATCGACAATAATTCAATGATGAAAAGCAATAAAAAGCAAAACAAACTTCCAAAGGGGCTGAATACTTTTTACAGCCGCTGTATGTGGTGACTTAGTTTGAAAACAATCCTGCGGTGCAGCGTTCAGCCGTTAAATTAAACCATTACTTGTTCTTATATTCCATCTCATAGCCTGATAATCCATTACTGAAGCACTGGGGGAGGGTTTGTCTAAACAATTATAATAATTTTAGCAATATATAATAACTATAATAAAGTGTGATCACTAGAATTTGAACTCAGAAGAATTTTGTGGTGATTTGGTGCAATACAGTGAACAAGAAAATCATTTTATTGCAGGATGAAAAGATTTAAAAGCAAGCAGGTCAACAGTCCGGTCAGTTTTAGGGCCTGAACAGTGATAGAAATGTTTGCTGTGTGCAGAAATGTGTAAAATATATGCTTGAGAATGTGCACATTTAAATAGTTTATGGTGAAAACAACTGGGGACTACAGCATACATACTCAAACTAATGTGCCATAGAATCTATACACATTTTATAAAAACCTCAGTTTCCAGACGATTAAACCATGTTGTGCAGCAGTTGTTTCCTGTACTGCATCTTGAATCACTGGTTCTACTACATCAGTGGGATTTTAATAGATTTCCCCAAAGTTCTAACAACATTTGCCTATATGGATAGATGCTGTTTTAAAAATGCCATCTTCAGCGTCCAGTCAGAGTCACTGCCATCATAAGAGCAAAAACACATCCATTCAGAGGACTGTGATTCTTTTCCCTCCTGTTGTTGGAATAAGGACAGTCTGCTGGGAAACAGAAGCCAAGACAGGAGTGTGGTATTTCAGGGTTTGTGGACAGAAGAAGACTAATAGAGACGGAAAAGGAAACAAACAGCTCGTAGTGGATCAGTGGCTGTTGTAAAGGTGATGGATGGGCGGCTGGCTTAGGAACCAGGTGAGTCAACCACGGTTCCTGCTACCGTTCATTTTCGCTCCTTTGCTCCCCAGACATCATCGTACTCATCGCCTCGGTTGCCGTGGTTTCGGCCGGTAGCCAGGGCAACATCTTCGCCACGTCTGCGCTGCGTAGCCTCCGCTTCCTGCAGATCCTGCGCATGGTGCGTATGGACCGCAGGGGCGGGACCTGGAAACTGCTGGGATCTGTAGTTTACGCACACAGTAAGGTAAGACTTTGCTGTGGTCTCAGCTGGTTCCGGTCTTCTGAACTATGATGTGTTTGGAGGTATTTAAGGAGGTCGGTGCTGTGAGGCTTCAACAGTTCAATCCATAGAGATTCCCAACCCATGTTTGACCTGCCTCTGTTTTTAGATCATGTAGGTCCTGATTTGTCTGTTCAGTTTGGATGGACGCTGCTTCTCTTGCTACCTACTTAATTCTTCCACTACTTTCAGTTTTTGATTCATCTTATTTTTATAAAGTTTATTTTTAATCCCCAGAAGCCATGTTTCCACAACATGTTTTTATCCATGTGTCAGGAAAACATCCCTGAGTTCAACACGTAGCCCACATGACTGATCATTCTTCTTCTTTCACCTTCTTCGTTGAGCTCAAATGGAAGAATGATCATAACTTTCTCGACTGAAAACAATTCCTGAACATTTAGACTTCATTTTTCTCTCATAGACGACCAAAATGTTGCCTACTTCTTCGTCTTCTTTGAGGTTTTTTGTACCAGTTGGCAAACAAATGCTTTCATTTCCGACTTCGGTTTATTACAGCAATGCAGCCTTTACTGTTGTTTTCTACTTAACTGTTACTGGATATAAGCCTAATTTAAATTTGTACTTATTTTACAATTTTGTGACATTTCAGAAAGTCACTTCACAGTTATTGGAAACGTGGAAAGTCTACTGACTATAGAGTTATGACATCATCTACGTTCAGATCCATAAAAACCGAACTTAAACTATGAAACTCTGTCAGCCATCGGGTCTGAAATCTCCCGGGAAAATGTAGACGTCTGAATATGTCACTTTGATGCATGGACAGAACTGTTTAATGGTTTAATAAATGACTGCAGAGAGACTTTAAGCTAAAGTGCTGATATCAAACTGTTTCAACTGATAATCCTCCGTTAAGAATGTGAGTTTAGCAAATGCATGCATGAGATAAATTGGAAAATGCAGAAAAACAATTCCAAAAAATGCCTTTGTGGCTGTTAAAATATGTTGTAGTTGGCAAAAGTCTGTTATTTATACAGTGTCATCATGAACAGCACACTCCTGTTAGTCTCCACATTTATTTGAAATCACCTCCTGCGTATTTATTTTATGCTGCATGTTTTATGTCTGTATTATCTGACATGTTCTTCTCTGCGTCCCTGTTGCATGTACAGCTCCTATGTTATATCACAGGCCATTTGTTCTGTCTGTATATTTGTATTAAATGTGTGTAGCTTTTGTGATTTTTGCACAGAATAGTGAATTTTAAGGTGAGCCATGCGAGGAAAAGTAAGTAAATCATCGTCATTATAGCCAATTTCTCACAATGACGTCAAAGCAAATAATTAAGGTGTTTTTCCAGCGACTGCAAACAAAAGAAGTGCAAAAAAAAAGTAAAACATCTCCTGCGCTTTTGAATGGCTACTGATGCACGGGGTTAAAAAAAAAAGCTAATTCTCATCTCCAAAGGGAGCGATTATAGTGGAGAGCAAACTATCCTTATCTTGTTTGAAGCGCCGCGTGAGGCTTCGTGCTCGTGAAATCTAATTACTTCTATGTGTGTGTGTGTGTGTGTCTTGCAGGAGCTGGTGACTGCCTGGTACATCGGCTTCCTGGTGCTAATCTTCTCCTCTTTCCTGGTGTATCTGGTGGAGAAAGAATTCAACAAGGACTTTGCCACCTACGCCGATGCTCTGTGGTGGGGAACGGTGAGCAAACACTCGCCGTGTCCTGACACACTCGGTTTATCTGCTCGGTTTATGCAGCCACGCTGTGCTGCTGATTTGATTTTACATCAACAAAAGATTGCATATGAACACAGGTCACTTTTTCCATACATAAGAAACGCTCCTTTCTGATCTCCAAAGCCATTTTCTCAGCATCGCTATTCAGACAGGGTTGTTTGAGGGCATTGCACAGTCTCGGGTTTTAAGTATTTAAACAACCATAACCTCCCAGTGAGTCGTTCTTCAGCTGAAAAGTGCTTCAGAACAGATTCAAGGACTTTGAAACATTCATATTTACAAGATATTTCTTGCAGTAGTGAAAGTTTTCATCCATTTATGTGCAAAAGATCGACATTTTATAGTCATTTTGGAGCCTACACAACAAAAAAAGGATGATGCATGGGGTAGCAATAAGAGAAACAAAGGTCTTAGTGGAGATAAGCAAAGAAGAAACGTACATCACAGGGTTATACTGTTCAGATTGGAAGAGCAGAGGGCACAAAGCTGTAACCCCCAAATACTTGTGCATGGATTTTACAGCAGAAAGCTTTTCTTTTGATGTTTTTTACCCTACAACCTTCTTGTTGGCAGCCCTCAGAATATATAGTCAGATTTTTATGACAACTTATGAGGTGTGTCAGAAAAGTTCAAGGACTGGTGTCACAAAAGATATATTTTAAATCCAAACTACAAGTTTTCCCCGTCCAAGTAATCCCCCTGGAGTCTAACTCACTTCCCCAGCCTTCTCTACCACGCCGCCATGCACTCCTGGAAGGATTCTTCTCCGCAGCTCCGTCGTCACAGCCATCTTGATGTAGTCTACATCTTCTAAATGGGTCCCCTTGATGACCCGCCTGAGCTTGGGGAGGAGGAAACAATCCCACAGAGCCAGGTGGGGTGAGTAGGGAGGTTGCTCCAGCACAGAGATGTTCTTCTCAGCCAGGAACTGTGGGATGCTCAGGGCGTTGTGAGCAGGAACGTTGTCATGGTGAAACAGCCACAAGTCTCGGCTCTTCTCGCACACTGAACAAGCTCCGCAGGATCTCTTTGTGGACGTGCTGGTTGATCCTCTGAAGGGTAAATGGTCAGCACTTTTATAGCGCCTTTTTCTACCTTCGCGGTACCCAAGGCGCTTTACAATGTGTTTCACATTCACCCATTCACACACACATTCACACACCAATGGTGACAGAGCTGCCATCCAAGGCGCTAATCTGCCACTGGGAGCAACTTGGGGTTCAGTGTCTTGCCCAAGGACACTTTGGCATGTGGAGGGGGACCGGGGATCGAACCACCCACCTTGCCATCATTGGACAACTCGCTCTACCACCTGAGCCAAGCCGGGGAAAACAAATCGTACTTTGGGTTTGAAATATATGTTTTGTGACACCAGTCCTGGAACTTTTCTGACACACCTCGTGAAGTAACGTCATACGCCCTCCAGTCCAACGTTTCTATGACTCAGATCGTCTCCCTTTGTACCTACAACTAAACAATTTGGCAAAATAATGAAAAAATTTGCCAGTGTTGTAGTCGTTCAACCAGATCTTCAAACGCACATCAACCACTTTTTAAATCAACTTTAAAATCACAAAATATGTTTTGATGAGATGTTCCAAACCCAACTCAGCGCCGTTGCTCCCTCTTAATCCCAAAGAAAGTTACCGAACTCCGCTTTTATCTGACAGCGGTGATATATTTCCATTTACAGTTTCAGTTTGGCCTTAATGACACCTGCAGCACAAAAACCAACAGAAGTGGTCTTTAAAGTCACACTCGGCTGTCTGCGCTGCACTGTTTCCTCCTACATCCTCCCGTGAAGACGTGGAAGGAGACAACACACAAACAAGAAATGGCCAAATCAATAAATCCAATTTTCTCCTGCTGCCAGGTGCGACTGGCCTGTTAGGCTTGTGGGAATGAAACTCTGACACGCCGCGTTCCCACGTTCGGTGGCCTCGGCGCATCTTTCTTTCTGCTGGACACTAAAAGCTGTTATGTCATTTTTTTATTTTTTGAAAAGCTGGAGTTTTTCGGTGAAGCCTATTAAGTTTTAAGAGGCATGAGTCAACACAAAAGCTGTCCGAGTCACCGCTGAGAGCCATTAACACCGAAGATTTAGAAGCTGCGTTTCGGTATCTGTTTAAATCTGCAGCGTGCTCGGTCTTTGATGTGCTGATTACAACGAGGCTTCGTCTTCCTGCTTCTTTTATTCTGTGTTTTTACTACTCTTAACAACACACACTTCATTCAACAGGTGCTCTCTTCATCTGTTCCGTCTGTAACTGCTGAGGAGGAATGGTTTAAAAAGTCATTAATTCTAGCAACGGCGGAGGAAACTATCTCAACTTATCACGAATCTACGAGGTCGCCAAGCTGTTCGTTTGGCTGCCGTGTGCTCGGAAAGTAGCCTCAGCAACCGTATTTACTAAAGTCAAGCAATTCGAGGAACAACAAGTGCAGTCTGTGAAAAGTAGCGCAGCACAAGGCCAATCTGAGGAAACACAGAAAATATATCGTTTGTTTTTCTGAGACGTGTGTGTTGCTCTGCTCGGGTTGAGGGAAGCAACGTACAGCAGGTGTTTCTGGATTCAGTGAAGTTGTTCATTGCTCAGTAATATGATTAACAAACAAAGGAGGCAAAACTGCAAAGAAAAACAGAGCCTGTGTTTGGCTAAGTCAGTGAAGGAAATAAAAATGACAGAAAACAAAACAACTACACACAACCCCACACAAACTGGAATACAAAGACAGCAGCACCAGAGGAAAAACCGCAAAAGGTCCCATGTGGTGAAAGTCCAGTGTGGCTTTATTTTGTCTTCACAACATAGAAATGATAAAATACAAGCTGTGAGACTATTAAGATGCTTAGTGTTGCCACGCCTCTAGCCTCCTTTAACTAGATGGCCTCTCAGCTTTACAAACCAGTCAGAGTGTCTATGCGGAAATTAGACAACCAATATATTTGCATAATACCTAAATATTTGCATAATTCTGCCCCCTCTCCCTACCTGCTGCCTCCAGGTTAACAATTCAGTCCAGCAGGTTTATTTACTGTCTTTACTAATCCAAAGAGTCTCAGCCACAAGCAAAGTTTCACCAAATGTTCTGCTGTTGGCTGCAAGAGTGAACACAAGAGTCTTCATGCACTCCCAGCATCTGAGAAAATGAAGATCTAGTAGATTTGATTACAGTTTCACCACAAAAATAAGAAAATTTGCATTTTGCATGGCTAATGCGGCGAACGTCAGAGTGTCAGAGTGTCTGTGGACAGTGTAAGACTGATGTCAAACCAGTAAACAAGGACTGAGTGACTTCTTTCATGGCACAGTTTGCTGCCGTCTCAACTCACCAAGCGCTCCAACAACGGTGTCAGTGATAGGTGTGTATTTGTTGCCCAGCATTTTATTTCCGTGTCCAAAATAGAAATGGAAATGATTATTCACTGTGCAAATAATTGACGATGCAGACGACAAGAGACATGCATGTCAGAACACGTATTGTAGATTAGCTGCAGTTCCTGGTTGTTCCACCAGGTGGAGCCTCTTAGCATTTAATTCCGTAGCTGCCAGAGGAGGCGTCACTTGGACTTTGAGCAGTTCTGTGTTGGCAAGTGAGGAGCATTGTGGGGGTTTTAGCTAGCAACAGGCACCATGACAGAGACTTATGTGGCGGTTAATGGCGTCCAGCCAGAGATGCACTGAAGTCTCCTAAAGCAGAATTTGTATGAATTTGAGAGTAATGTCACTGGGCCTCTTTGCAGCAAATCGGAGACTAACATTAGCTTCATCAGCATAAAGAAAACGTCCCCTGTATGTCACTCGTTTTCACCATTAATTGATTATCTGCAAGCTGCTCGCTATTGGTAAAGAAAGTTGTTGAAAATTTGCTTCCCTGGTTATAAGTATAAGAAATAATTCACTGCACGCTTTAGAACATTATATCAAATGTTGGTTACCTGATCTCTGTCCCTTCAGATCACCCTCACCACCATTGGATATGGCGATAAGACCCCGCAGACATGGACAGGACGGTTATTATCCGCTGGTTTTGCTCTGCTGGGGATCTCCTTCTTCGCCCTTCCAGCTGTGAGTGACAGACATGAAACATTATGCTGCAGCGACTGATTAAAGAGAACGCTAACGGGAGCGTGGACCACTTGTGTTTTCTTTGATGAATTTTCTCCCAGTTTTAAAACTCAGCGAGCGACTGTGTGCTTTCTGCATGTAGGGCATCCTCGGGTCAGGCTTTGCCCTGAAGGTGCAGGAGCAGCATCGACAGAAGCACTTTGAAAAAAGGAGGAACCCAGCTGCCAGCCTCATCCAGGTAGACACACAGAGAACAAACACACTTCACCTCCACTGATTTCTTTCTTTTTGCAGCAGCAGAAAGCAGCAGCTGAGGACCAGTTGGAACACAAAGAACTTTCTTTCCCTTTATGTGCAAATTTTCTTGTTTGTCTGTGTGGTTCATGCCTCTTTCACAGTGCATGTGTGTGTGTCTAAATAATAGCTCCTCGTTACCCTTTGATGAGTGTGTTAGGAATATGCTGAAGTGTAGGTGTGCATCTCCGCTATCAGAGTAAAAGTGTTTCATTAAGAGCGCCCTTAATACGAGTGTGCGTGTGCGTAATTTACCCTTCTCCGGGTCGGCCGGTTGTGTAGCCGGTGATGACTAACAGTGTGTGAGGCACGCTGCCGTCTCTCAGGTCCAACAGCAACACACACTGCTGGGATTTATGAGCCGTTTCCATGGCGACCGTTCCCCGGGCAGACGCTCCTCCAGGCCGTCACTCATTGTAATAGACAAGACCAGCTGCATTGCTTTCTAATGAACTATAAATATTGCCGTGGCGTGCGTCCAGAGGTGCATGTATGTGTGTCTCCGACGGCGTCTGTGTTTGTGTCTGTTCCGTCTACCTTCCTCTACCTTATGAACTGCGCTGACCTACTTCTGGAGTTTTTCCATCCAATAATCCAAATTTTCTACCCGCCCGAGCCTTGCAGAATCGTTGCGAACGCTGTCATCATCCGCACCGCTTCTGACAACATGATACTTGCTAATGTCAAAATATGACGAAGCAGCTGTCACACAGACTTCCCGGGTTGAAAGAGACGAGCAGTCAATCAACGTTTAGGTCCAAAACTCTGCAGCTGACCCAGTTTTTAGAGCTACCTATTGGGAAGTGGAAATTTTTAAATCGTTACCCAAACTGTGTGTGGTCAAAGATTGCGTCTTAATGAAGGGTTTTTTGGACTGAATATGTCACGGGAGGCAAATAAGGTCCGTCTCTGTCCAAACACACCTCAAACGTAGCCAAGAAATGCGACATTTGCTGCCCTCGGTGTCCAATAATCCACCGACTCAACTGTTTAATGAAGCAATCGAGCGATCCTGGGCCGCCTCTAAAGCAAGGAAATACCACAGAATCATGTAAATATATATTGCACGAGCTAAACCGAAAAGAAATTCGCTGCAGGATGTAAATAACCATAAACTTCACTGGTTGTAAATCACCTGTTTTTGCAGTAAATAGAAATTATAACGGCCGATGTGAGAGTTTTAGCATCTTTTGCAGCCTGTGTGTCACAATTCATGGTGTCATTAAGCTGCAGTTTCTCAGACAAGCTTGTTAAGATAAACTTCCAAAACATATTCCAACTACTTTGTCGCTGAACTTAGTGGCATCTGTTTACGTTTTACTGCACACCTTCCAAATAAGTAGTTTAAATGATCCTGATAAACTGTATTCTCAGGAGCCTGTGCAAAGTTCAACACATCCAGGATATCTTTATCCGGCTTCACTGAGCCCGACTTGTTTAATCAACGCGCTGTTTCCTAGCTACGAGCACCTTCACATAAAAATCAAACCAGTTGGAAAAAGGTCCAGAGCTGCATATTTCTCACAGGAGGAATAAAACGTAATCCTAAACCAATGTGAGGAAATTGAAAATGTAATACGGGCTAAAAGCAACACAAGTCGGTCTAAATGTGTGAGTTAATAGACTTATCAGCATCCCTGCCTCATCATTAAGGCATGAGTAGGTCTGACTGTAATTGCTGCTGTGTATTCCATTAGATGAATGTTGCTTAGATTTAGCCTTACCTCCTGCTCTCCGACCTTAAACGGTCTTGGGAGCAAATAAAGAGCAAATATTAAAACATAATTGAAACCGGTGAGTCAGCTTCGTGCGGGTATTATAAACACGAGGCTTTAGTGCTTTAATCAGCCTCCGTTTTATTATTAAAGCGCTATAAGGACCGTAGAACGATTGTTTTGAAGATTTTTTTTCCAGGCAACATGAACGGAAATAAAGCGAGAACAACCTCCGCCGAGGCCTCGTATCTTTGCCGAAGGGTTTGTGGAAAGTCTTATCGCCGAGCTCCGAGGGATCTTGCAGGAACCATTGACCAACGGGATTGATCGGTCAGTGGGCGGCGCTTTTACGCGCATCGATCTTGAACGTAACCTGTTCTTGATCGGGTTAGGTGTTCGTAAGTTGCCATGGTGATTCGCTCCAGTGAGAAGTGAAGCATTGTTGGAATCCCAGAGTTAAATTTACCTTTTAAAAAAACCCAAATTCTGCTTCATCGTCCAGGCCTCGGATCTGAAAATCAGTGGGATATTTTCCTCAATATTTATATGAAAAGCGAATCAAATCTAAGCGCAGTTTTTTCCCTCCTCCTTCTTATCAACACACATCTGTTGCTACGCTTGACAAAGACCCAACCGATGCTTAACAACCCATTAAACGCGCAATTAATCCTCTGTGTGTGTGGATGTCGTTTCTGTTTAACCGGCTCTTTATCGAGTACCTGATCGCTGTCTGTTATCTGCCAAGCTCATAAAGTTTTTTTTCCCCCCCTTCCCGACAGGTAAAAGGAAACTTGGAAGCGGCTTCGATGGTGTTAAATCTGTGGATAACATTACTGTTCTGTCTTTCACTTCACTCCCCTCTCATCTCACACAGCTCTCCCCGCTTTAAATCACTGTTCGTCCTGTGCGTCTCTGTGGAGGGAAGTTACCGCCGGCCGTCCTCATGCCTCAGCAGCTGGTCAATTCTAAATATAACCTGCTGGAATAACTATTTTCCCTAATAACTGTACTTTTAGAGCTTGATTGAATCTCCAAATGACGCTAAAGTGGTCTCCAGAGAGGCGTAACGACCAACAGCCACAATTGAGCAGCGTTTTTGGCAGGGTGGCCGGCATTAATTTTCCAACCTGTCTGTGTAAAGTGTTTATATTTGGGTCTTCCAGTCGTGTCACACGTCTTGTAACCACACCTGGCACCGATGAGGAGGTTCAGCTATGGGTCAATATGTCAAGAGGCCAACCTGTAAAAATGACCGTGGTGGACATACAGTAGGAGAGTTTTGCAGAAGTTTTAAAAGAAATGAGGGTTACTGTTGAATCCAAGCTATGCATCTGTGTTGTTCTAAGGGTCCAAAAACCAAAAATATGACGACACAAACTGTACATATCGACGCACTTCTGCTTCTACAGATGATTAACAGTGTGTCCAGTTGTGGAGAAAATATTTGCATCCTTTACTCAAGTAAAAGTGCTTCTACCACACTGTAAAAGTCCTGCATTGAATTTTACTTAATCAGAAACATGTACTTAAATATTTAAAGTAAAATGACTCAATGAATTCATCTGCTCATTATTCTCGATTTATCAGTTAATTGTTTGGTTTGTTTCAAAAAAGGGGGGGAAAAAAACTCTAAAAATTTTGAGAAATGCCGTCACAAGGGCTCTAAATAACTATCAAAATACTTAATTTATTGACAGTTAGGTACTTTAATTTAGAACTAAACATATTTATGTACGTTTCTCCTGTGCTTTATGTGTAATCTTTATCTGTAAAGTAATCTGGCAGATGGATATAGTGACATAAAAATGTCTAAATATAAATATTTCGCTCTGAGATGTAATGAAGTAGAAAGATTCTTTAAAATTAAACATTTAAGTACCTTAAATATGCACTTTAGTACTTCAGTAATTAAGCATTCAGTTAAACTTGAACTATTGTTAGATAAATCAGTATATACACGTTGACAAATACAATCTGCTAAATCTGATCCATCCATCTCTCCTGTTATTTAAGCAGTGATTGAAGGTTTCTGTGGTTTCGATTGGATTTAAAACTTGTCCTAGCATTTATTTCAGAAGGCCTTCGAACTGTAGACTGTTTATGAAGCTTCAGCTGTGAAGGTTTGAAGCCTTGAGTTTGAAATCTGACTCTTTTGAAACCACCACCATAAAACATACCCGGCTTTATCATCTATTCTGTCTTTCATTGTCATTCAAAGATATATTTTTAATTTAAAAATTTGATTTCATTCACTGAGTTAAAACTAAACAATTAAACGTGACACAAACACTCTTGACTCCTGAATGAAAGGGAGCAGAATAAAGAGTAATTTTATGTTATCTGCCCCCTTTACCCAAAGAAATACACTTAGAAAAAGAAACTTAAATTACAAAAAGCATCAACAACTACACAATAAACCTCAAAATATTATTTTAAAAAAACAATAATAATAACATAAAATAGCTGTCCTTCCAAAATATGTCCAAAATTTACACCAAAACAGGTGTACATGCAGTGTGCCGTTCTGTTTTACCAGGTTCAGGAATGCTCTATATAAGTAATTTGAAGAAAAACAAGCTGCTGTTGTCACCTTCAGCAACCCACATGAATGCTTTTTTTAATTTGGTGGCTTCATAATGTGCATCACACCAAAACTGTTTCACATAACGGTCAGAATATTTCCAACGTGCTGCCTCCATAATTTAGCGTTGCTCAGAAGCATTTACTCCTGCTGTATGTCCAAGTCACGCCCTTATGTGATGAATTGATCCGTTCTTATTCCCAAAGCTTCTTATTTAGAGACTCTTCACTCTTTATTCCCACATTGAGAACCTCTGATTGGCTGCCGGCTGGTTACAAACCCCCCTGAACCGTCCTGTGTGCGTTACATGTTGCCATAAATCTCCGTCCCTGGGTTTTCCCGGCAGCGTTTGTCCCATCGCCCTCCTGTGTCGCCTTTGTTTGTGTACATGTGAATGCCTGTCCACCTCTGCTCCCTCCCCCCACCCAGGCGGCTTGGCGTCTGTACTCCACCGACGGCGCTCGTCCCTACCTCAGAGCCACCTGGCACCACTACCAAAGCGCCCTCCCCCCCCTCAGGCATGTATCCCCTCCACCACCACCACCTCCACCTCCACCAGCACCACCACCAGCACCACCATCACCCCCCCCGCCCCAAACCTCCCTCCGACTACCCCACCAACCGCAGTGCATCAACACTACCCCCCCACCCCAAAAAAAACTAATCAGGTTTTTCTTTTTTCCCCTTCCTCCTCCTCCTCCTCCTCCTCCTCCTCACCTTCCTTCTCTCACTTATACGAATCTCCCCACTCCCCTCCCCTCCACCCCACCCTTTTGTTTTTTTATTTTTTTCCCTCCCACACTTCACTCCGTCCATTGTTTCGATTTATCATTACTTTATTTATCCTGTCGACTCTGCACGTAGTGTGTCTGGCGTAGTTATGCTGCTGATGAGAACTCGGTTTCCATTGCTACCTGGAAGCCTCATTTGAAGGCGTTGCATACCTGCAGCCCCGCCAAGTAGGTAACAACTTACAGACTTACAAACATGGCCGCTGCTGCTCAGCCCTCCTCCTCCTCCTCCTCCTCCTCCTCCTCATCTCTTACTGTCCAGCTGGTGTCTGTTCGTCTCCACTGGTTGTCACTTCAAGCAGTTGTGACTCGTTGCTGTGAAGCCTTGTAACCATTTTCTCATACGCACACCCGTATTAACCTTTTTTTTTGTTTTTTTCCTCGATCAGGAATGTTTTCGCTTTGCATGCACGACCTTTAACACCTTCTTCACATTCAGACACGTTCACATATGTAGCCGATGAGCGTACGCTTTGCTGAACGGCACGCTGGGGTTTACTGTTAATAATAATCAATTTGGTGAATATCTTGTAAATGTTTTTTTTTGTTGAAAACGCTCACATGCAGTTAATATTCTTATGCAGTGTTATCCTACCATCCAACACCATTCAAACGCTATCATTCCCATATATTCCCATATATATACGGGCCATTTAATGGTAAGTTAAGCTGCCATGTTGCACTTTCAGAAGTTCAAAAGTCCATATTTCAACCTTAAAGAGGCGCCTAAGCTGGTTTTTAGTGAGGAGACTTTAGTTCAAGTCCCAGGAAGGTGCATCAGAAAGGAATGAGCATAAATCAGACTCATGCACGCTGTCTAACTTGCAAAAATGCATTTCTTACTGCAGCATTTTGGCACCAGACCTTCAAAAGTCAGATAGTTTAGCACCCAGAAAGAATCCACCTTCTATGCGGAGTGACTCTGACACCAGTAAACACACTCCACACACCCTCTGGAGCAAAAAGAAATGCATTCAATACTACATGGAACATGAGAATCATCCATTTTTAAAAAGAAAATCATTAATATTACAATAAAGTATTCACACAGTGTGGGTAAAATCCATGGACAGAAATGCTTGAAGTGTAAAGTGAAATGTAAATGAACCAAAGAAATAACTCAAAAACACACAGTTCTGGTGGATATCATCACACATAAGACATTATTACAGTATTGTTTTTGACTTGTTTTACTCTCAGTGTTTACTCGTCTGTTCGGTTAAGTTTAGGCAACAGAACTGCTCAGTTAGGTTTTAATAAATGGTTGTGTTTTGGGGTAAACACATCCTTCCACTTAGTTTACCAAATGTTCCAAAGCTACAGCTGCTTTTAGATCAGAGCTCGACTGACGCTAGAGTTTTGTGGCCGATGACGACACTGATTTTTAGGGATTCTAGTATTGATGGCTGATATTCGTTACATTTGCAATGAAAAGGGGAAATAATGGGGAGAACAAACCAGTTAGCAATTTATCCTGAAGACACCACTCGACTCTGCACCATCATCCGCTCTGCTGCAGGTGCTGCCGACTGCAATTAGTGTTGTAAACACTGGAGTCAGAGCTGCTCTGGTGGATGAACTATATCTAAATACCTAAAAGCATTTTTTCAGAATCATGTTATGGAAAGAAAAGTTCTCATATCGGAAGTTATTGGACTAGATATATGGCTAGACCCATATATCTGTGTTAGACCAATATCGGCTAATGAGTAAAATGGATAATAAAGCGAATTCTGTCCTATTAGAAGGTAGAGGACGTCTGGGAATGATGTGCGTTTGATGGACTTGTTTGAATTGGATGCAAAGCCCAGAACAAAGCCAATTCAGCAACAACTAAACAAACAAAAGGGCACAATCTGTTTCATGATTTTAATACTATAGCGTTATTCTTTTACAAAACAAAACAACAGTCATACATTAACTTTGACTCTTCGGTAGTATTTGACCCTTTAATGCTATTAATTCTGATTTTAACCGGCTTCAAGTTCATTGAGTTGACTCAGCTTGAGGCAAATAAAACTAAATCCAGAAACCCAGTGTTGGTTTGTATGTGACAGTTCAGTCTCACATGAGTTTTTAGCGACTGAACATTAAACACACATAAAGATAATTTCACATAAACCCTTAGCTCTCTGGTTGCTGTCTGTGAACTAACGCTCAGCCTTACTGTGCATGGCCATAGCTTGCATGTGCTTGGATATAACTAACCCCCGTTCAATTAAAGTTCCTTTCACTTCTGCTTCCGTTTTGGCTTGATGCCTCCCATATCCATTAGTGGAAACGTCTGTATAATGCTATTTTAATCTGCTGGAATACTGATTTCTCTCCCTTTGTCTCCTCCTCTTTTGTCCCACTAACCACTGAAGGAAAGAGCAGGGCGAGACCACTTACAGGTTTGTACGACTCTCAGCTCATATCTGAACACACACACACATATATACATATACACATGCACATTAAGATGAACCTGTTTTAGAAACTGTGATGTCTCTTCTTTTGCTGGGTTGATTTGTCCCATTTTAATGCATTTTTTTTGTTTTTGGGCATTTACTGGGTTGTAGCAAGTGGCCAGATTGCCGTTAAAATGCTCGGACGCACTGATTGTTTCCTTTATTGAGTTCAGTTTGGTTCATTGATTATTTTACCAAAGGCCTGAACTGTTATTTAACCTTTTGGTCACCATTAGTGGAGCAAACGCAGGCAGCCACGGTGCAGTTTTGACATATCGACTCTTTTTCATTTCACTGGGCAACAAGATGATGATGATGTTAATCCAGAAGTGGAACGGAAACGAAAAAGGTTCTAATTGTTTTACCGAAGCTACACTTCACTGAAAGTACAGAGGATGATTAGCGTCAGAATCACAGCGGACAGGTAAAAGGTTGATTTGTGCAAATGAGGGGTAGCCAGAGGCGTGAGCTCAACGTTAATGTTCCCTTCATGCAACACTGGAAAAACAGGCGCTAACACATTCTCTCTGCTGCAGTACAGTGATTTGAATTGTGTGGAATTGAGGAAAAACAGGCAGAAAAACGAGCTGTAATGAAGTGTTTTCAACCCGCTGAACCCCAAAACCTGCTGGTCAGTTTGAAGAATCACCAAAATGACAGAATTCATGAAACCCAGAAACTGTAAAAACACAAAAAAATGTTTGATTTTCAGCTCTCTGACAGTCCTTGAACTACTCATCTGTGACATGCCATTCTATTTAGGAAATTAGCAAAATGTAGCTTGACATGTCACATTTGAAAATTTGTAAAAAATAAATCATTTGCTTTACCTAGATTCTGTAAAAATCAAAAAATTCTGCACTTCTTAATGCAATCGTGAAGCCATTAGTGACTCAGCTGCAACCATCAGTAAGGTGATAAAAATTCAGGGGATGTTCGGCTAAATTGCAGACTGTGCTGACACGGAGCAGCTGATATCAATAGTATGGAAATAAATAAAAATGTACGTAGTAAAGAACTTGAATTCATCCAGTATCCGTAACACCTGTGAGTAGTTGGACAAACATTGTATGTGTTGAATCCAGATTTTTATTTTTATTTTTGTAAACTAAACAATAAAAAAAACACTTTTTTGTGATTTATGGCATCATAACATTTGAATTTTTAATATATCATGAGAAATAACTTTGTTGTTTATGCATTAATGGGTTAAAAATTAATGTGTTAATTCCACAGATTGATCTCTTTACATCAACACAGTAATTTTCTTTTAAATGAATGAAGGAATGAATTGAATTTATTTTTGAACAAATAAAAGGGAAAAAAGAATTAAAAAATAGCAATAATAATAAGAATGCATAATCAAATCATGATTTTAACAAGTTCGAAAAAGGAGTGGGAAGAAGTGTACACTTTTAATTTTGACAGCCCTAATACAAACTTATTTTTTGAAATGTAGGCTTTATTTTTTATCTTTTTTTTTTTTTTTTACAATGATCTTGGGACCTGGTCCCGACCCCCAGTTTGAGAACCACTGTCTTAGAGCACAAGAATCACTTTTGGGTTCTTTCCAGTTCTAGCCATAGTTGTGCTGCTTCCATTGAGGTGCAGGACTTTAATTCTTAGTGAAAAAAGAGCCTCCAGTGAGTAGAAATGAGCAAAAACTGCTTGAGGTTCAGAGGGTTCAACCAAACACAGGAGCTGCTTTTAAATCATCTCTCATGAAGGTACAAAGTGCTGCTTTTCCACGTTTTCTCCCCTTTTGTCATTACATCTTGATGTTCTGACTCTACCTCCTCCTTCTCCTTTCACTACTGTTCCTGCACTTGACTCTGAGGCAGGGAGGGCTGATGGGCGTCTTTGTCTCTGCAGCGTGTGCGCTCGTGTCTCAGTGTGTGTTTCAGTGTGTTAGTGTGTGTGTGCGTGCGTACTCGTGCACACACGCCTTTTAAGACAGGAGTCTGTACCATGTCTGTACCATGACGCACTTTTTCCATTGGGATGGTATTTATATAACTCATCAAACACAAGTCTAGGAGAGACAGACCCAAGTTGAAAAAAAAAAAAGAGAGGGGGGAGGCGAGGGAGGCGAGGAGGGGGGAGATAGGGGCTTTCAGAGAGGGGGGAAGAAGACAGAGAGAGATTTGTGAGTTTAATTATGCTAGTATAGTTTTTACAGTGCCGCGCTTCTTTGGCAACATTTGGGGCCCTCATGTTGAGCCAGCAGCTTCTCAGGCGTCTAAACTAAAGGCAGCCACACACGTACATGTATAAAACAAAAAAAAAATAAAGTTTACACCCTCAGCCCAACACACAAAGTCATCCTTAAAGAAAATAGCGTTTAATTGGGCTTTGTTGCTTCCACAACACCCCTCCGCGTAGAAGGCTGCGTTTAATTACGTTTTCCTTTCTTAGAAACTTTTGGTGGCAGCCAAGTCCAATTTGCACTTGTTAAATCATAATTATGCACACTTTTACGGCCCTCTTTCTTTTCTGCCCTCCGCCGAGAGAAAACACACAAGGGCTCCGTGTTATTAGCGGTTTTACAGACTGTCGACTCTGGGCTGCCGGGCGGCGGTAGGTGCCGTGGTGAGCGGCCGGCGGTTTTCGTTTTAAGCAGACTTGTAAACACCAGCAGTAGTAAACATTAGGCGCACCACAGAGCACTCATGCTGAGCGTAAGTGTGCTGGATATTGGCAGCGAGGGGCAACGTGAAATAAAGGATACCGGGGGTTTGGTTAGTGTGTGTAGACAGGTGTGCCTGGTTGTGTGTGCGGAGATTAATTCAACCCCTGTTGTGTGGTTTTAAAAGAAAAGGAAACTTCCAGTGGCTGATGTGCAGAAAACCGTTTACTCCTTTATTGTCTTTCATCCTGGATTCATTTAAAGGTGGAGCTGACTTCCTTGCTTCCTCTTGGGAAAATCAAACAAGGCTTTTTGCGAATGATGCTCGACGTGTTGGTGAGAGCAGCGTTTATTCCACAACACGGCTCAAATAATGAACTAAGCTGGCAAACAGGCCGGATTTCATCTAAAGCCAAAAAAAAAAACACAGACTCACAGTCGGGTTATTCCAACTGGAAGCACCCGAGGCCTTCAGCTCGACCGTCTCTGATTTGCTTGATTTTTATCATGAACTGTGGATATTTAAAGTGGTAGCTGTTAGCTTTTAAATTCCTCATCAACCTGCTTCCAGACGGCGTCTATGTTTGGACGACAGTAGCTCAGGAACTATTCATGATAGAAAAGAACATGATAGAACTTCTCATCGTGACACTGATTCAGAATCTACAAAATTGGACATCCATCTATTATCTATACACCGCTTAATCCTCACTAGGGGCTGGAGTCTATCCCAGCTGACTCAGGGTGAAGGCAGGTTCACCTGGACAGGTAACCAGTCTATCACAGGGCTACACTTAGAGACAGACAAACCTCACATTCACACCTACAGACAGTTTTTGGACTGTGGGAGAACCCGGAGAGAACCCACGGGGAGAACATGGAGACTCCATGCAGAAAGATCCCCGGTGTCCTCACGAGGACGCAAACCGGCGACCTTCTTGCTACGAGGCAACAGTACTACCAACTGCGCCACCCTACAGCCCCAAAATTGTACAAGTAGATCAAATCGTCTTTGCTCATGGGCGAAATATGCAAGAATGAAACTTGAAGCCGCCATGAAATGTACAAAGAAATGGATAATACAGAAGTCAACCACATGCAACTGCATGTCCCAGCATTGCAAAGCAACACAGAATACTGTTTGATATGAAATGAAAAGTATAGGTGCATAAATATCCATATTTTATATCATGTTCAGGTTTGTCAGAGATGGTTGAGCAGAGATCGTAGTAAAAGTCTGATGGTTTCAGGTGTAATGACTCCGACAGATTTTCAGTTTTGGGTCGACCCGAGTGCTTTAACTTCTGACATATTGAAGACATGTACTCACCGCATGTCGCGGAGAAGTCAGTGTGTTTAAAGATCCCCTCTGGTAAATATCCCCGTCTTGTAAATGTGTCTGTACGGTGCTAAACAAACCTTCCAGCTGCAGACTGCTAGTAACAGTTAGTCAGAGTTACTACGACTTGAAAAACAGGAATTTGAGTTTAAATTATCGATATTACAATATCAAGTTGATACACAACTCATGAATTTAATGTTAGCAATTTAAAGTATTTATCTAAATTAGATTTTGATGTCTTGCAGCGATGTAATTAAATTGTGGGAATAAGAATAATGAATTACTTTTTAGAGCGTAAATAGCGACGTGGGGACTTCATAGATCTGTATTTAAGCCATTTTAAGGCAGAAATCGATCAATTTAATAAAAAAACTTTACATATTTAATTCTGATACACAGAGACGAGCTTTTAGATGTTTAATCTTTGATCAAAGAGGGACTTTAAAGACATCATATTGGTGCTTTTTGAGCTGATTCACAGATTTCTTGAAAACTCTCCACGCTGAGTTTGGTTCAGGTTGTACACACTGCCGAGAGTAAAACTGGCCTCGGTGACACGCCATACATGTCACGAATTCACATTATAAATATGTTTGCCATCCCAGCATGAGGGACTTCAGGTGGGTATAGCTTCCACCCTGTTTACCCATTTTCCCATTTTCCTCTGAAATATGTCCCCCCTGCCCTTCTGTGAGTGTTTACTGTGCTTCAATATTGACAGCAGAGGATCTCTCCATCCTTTTTTAATCTCCTTCCTCCTTTATCCCCCCTTTTCTTCTCCATCCCCTCCTCCATCCATCTCTAGTAAGGGTCTAAGTAATGGGAGACTCTTCAGAAAGTATTCTCGGAAATATAGGAGGTACCTGCAGAACTACCCAGCATCCTCTCTGCCCTGCCCTTTAGCCCGCTATCCTGTGGGAATGACTGACTAATAGCATGGAGGAGAGCAGAGAAAACCAGCCTAACTTCCCTCCTAACTCCTTCCTCGGTTCTTTTAAATCCCAC